GAGGCCGAGTGTGTGTGGAAACAGACACGCACATCTGTTTGATTAGCTATCAGAACAAACACAGCAATTATTCAGCGAACAGATATGATAGTGCGGCTTTAATAACCACAGACACAAGGTAAAGGAGGACTCCACCCTTTTTTCAAAATCCCAGCATAATTAAGCGGTTAAGATGTAATCAGAGCTGTTCAGAGTGGTTTGGTGTGAAACGCTCTGTTCTAGAGAAACGTACCGAGTCAGAACTGTTCACAGTGGTGGTGATAGGAACCAGACGTCCACCTCTAAAAGCTCCCTCACAGAAAGTTCCTACATGAAATGGTTATGAATTCACTGCCTGATGACTGAGACACTGTTTTATGATAGTTTAGAGAACTTAAACTCCATCCATGGTGGAGGGATACATGCAGGGCGCTGTGAGGCAAAATAGTCCCCAAAGAAAACGTATTATTCCAGATTTTCCACTATTTTCCATCATCAACATTCCATATAAACTCAGAAGACTCGTGTAGGTTCACTGGTGGTTCTGGATGGTAAATAAAATGTCTATATTTGTGTTGTAGTCATGGCGACCCCTGGTTCCCATCACCACCACTGTACAGACATCTGAACCATTTTGCGCCAAACCACTCTGAGTCACTCTGTTTACATCTCACTCACTGAATTATGGAGGAAGTTTGTGAAAAATAAACTGAGAAATGATCTGAGATACACATCAGCACTCACATTACAGCAGGTTACCATAGAGCATAACCTTTGACCTCACACTGACCACACATTGATTTAAAGAGTGTGAGTTCAGGGCTGTTTGGTCACAGAGGCAGGATTAAAGTGTCTCTGCTCAGATTTTTCAGTTTGTATTTCATGGTTTCAGTCCTATCAGACTCTCCTCTGTTCGGGGCTGTTTTTCTCGGCTCAGGCCCTGAACAGGTACGTGTCCCTCGCTCTGCTCGCTCTGCACGTTATCGCTTTGGCAGCAGAATAATCTTGGCATGCGAGTCACTTTTTTCATGCCCACACTGCCGGGCAGCTCCGGGTTAATGTATCACCTGCAGGCCGTTTTAACCCAGTTATGAAACGGAGGCGGTGTCTGGCCGGGGCCAGCCGCTGGGCGGACTCACGGCTTATCTGAGTCCGTATAAAAGCAGGCCTGGAGCTGTGGAAGCAGAGTGGACATGCTGCTTCAGCACTGACCTTTCACAACATCCTCATCTGTCTGTGTACCTGAGCTTCTCTTCACCGTCTGACCCCTCCTTCCGGTCACCATGGGTGTTGCCTACAGCGTCGGAGAGTAAGTCATGCAGCTGCAGGAGCCTGTGGAGCTTAGTAAAACATCTTCGATTAAAAATACTTAATAAGTATTAATCTTAGGTTTAATATGTGAGTTACTGCAAAAACCTTGTAGCGTTTTGGGGGCTTTTTAATTTTATTTGCATATTGTGAAAGCTGCAGTGGCTCTTTGCACTGTGCTGAAATTTTGTGATGAATGGAAAAACAGGAACGGTGCAAATTTGCTTGGAATAACGTCTTTTTACATTGACTTCCATTATAAGTTAAGAAGGTTTTTTCCTTCTGCTGTAAAGGAAAGTTTGGGAGATAAGAGGTTTTGTTCCAACTGTGCATCGTATTATATCAGCTCCTTTCACAAACAGTTACACAGCTGTAGAGCACTTAAGTCTTAAGAAACTTTGGCATGTTCACTTAAGTCCTTTCCCACAATGATTTTAAGTGATTTTAGCAGCTCGCTAAAAGGCAAGTAAAGTACAAAGACCAAAACTCACTTAGGATGCTTTATGCAAGTGGACACTGTGCAATGAAATGATAACAGAAAAGACTGATGTATATATATATATATATATATATATGTGTGTGTGTGTGTGTGTGTGTATAAAGTTAATTTTATTTTATTTTATTACACACTGAGCCTTATTATTCAGTAACTACAGGGACTTCAGTGTAAACTGGCTGAGCTGTTCTTAGATTATAGAAGTGAACTTTGCCGGCTGTGTCTGGACATTTAATGGTTTAAGCTGCTCTCAAGTGCAGGTCCGGCGTTCATTTTGTCCAGAGTAAAAATTCAAGCTGCAAAGTGGATTTTGTAGTTTAATAGCTGATCTGTTGGTTTTTGCCTACAAGTGTGAACTTTGAGACAAGAGAAAAGTAGCTGTTCACTCACAGCAGCACAAACCAGCAGACAGTTAGCAGAGTTAGCTAACATTGTCTATTTTCTGTCTTAAAAATAGGGATACAGTAAGCAGAGTTACTTAGCATTAGCTCACTATGTTCAGTGTTGTGATTACAGATACAGTGAGCAGAATTAGCTAACGTTATCCTTCAGTCTTGAAAATACAGTTAACGGAGTCATCATGATAATATTCAGTGTTGTAATTGTAAAGTTAGCAAACCCTGCTAGAAAAACCAGCAATGACCAGCATGGTTGGTCACCGGCAAAGCCAGCATGTATTTTGGATGCTGGTGTGCTGGTCAGCGGTAATGGAAGATGATACGCTGACCACCACCAAAACCAGCACATGTTGTGTTTTGATGCTGGTATGCTGGTCAACCAGCGTGACCATCCTGGGGTGAGGAGCTAAACCAGAACCAGACCAACACAAAATAGGCCAAACCAGCCCAAATCAGCGTAGATCTGCACAGGCCGGCGTATTTGCTGTTCCTGTCAGCAGGAGAGTTAGTTACAGGGCTACTTTCAGTGTTAGAAGTAGGGAGAATATCAGCAGAATTAGGTAGCATTAGCTATTTAGCCTCAAAAGAAGGATCCATTTAACAGAGTTAGCTTAGCTAGCATCAACAATGTTAGTGCTGTAATTATAAAACAGTTATTGGAGTTAGCTAGTGTTAGCTATTAGCTATTTTCAGTGTTGGAATTATGGAGACAGTTAGCAGAATGAGCTAACATAGGCTAATTTTAGTCTAGAAAATATGGACACATTTAACAGAGTTAGCTTAGCTAGCATTAACAATTTATTTAGTGTTGTAGTTATAAAACAGTCAGCAGAGTTAGCTAGAGTTAGATATTTTCAGTGTTGAATTATAAAGATAGTGAACTATTACTATTACTATTGTTGTTATAATGAAAGTTCGCCGAGTTAGCTAGTGTTAGCTGTTTTCAGTCTTATTATAATGGTAGTTAGCAGTGTTAGCTTTGGTTAACGTAAGAACACCGTACTTCGGCACTCTTCAGCAGTTATAAGTCATACATACCCGCATAGCAACCAAGATGCATTTTGATTGGTCACATTTGGGCCAATAATTTTAAAGAAATAGGAAAAAAGCGTCATCTGTGTCCGCAGTTTGTGCCGTCAGTATTCCGTACACCAGCTTCCACAGAGGGAGCGGTTTTCCCTGCAGTTTATTTGAAGTTTTATGAAATCTAATTGCATAAAATTATACATTAACTGATTTTACTGATTATAAAAGTGAATTAATATAAACAGTATGTGCAGTGAATGAGGCTACCATGGAAAGAAGCCTAGTAAAGTGAGTCGGTGCTGTGAAGCTGCGCAGCTGAAAGGAGTCTGCTGAGGTCACTTAGCTGACGGTGTAAACTTAGATTAACTGCTCAGTACTAAACACGCTGTGTTTCATGGTGATGATCCACTGTTTAATACTCGTTTTAGTGTTAAATATGATGTTTAAACATGCTAAAATGCATTTTAACTGGCCATGAAAGTTTCCCCACTCCATTCACGTTTGCAGCATCGGTCACTATTTGCACAGATTTGATGTCCAAACCCAGCTTAGATGGTCTTGCCAACCAATTTGATGGAAAAAAGGATATATGGCAATGTCTCAGATGTATCGTTGACAAATATCAAGAAAGTAGTTTTTATTACACAAACAGGAAAAGTTGCAAGTGTACGGGATACTGAAGTGTACGGGATACTGAAGTGTACAGGATACTGAAGTGTACGGGATACTGAAGTGTACGGGATACTGAAGTGTACGGGATACTGAAGTGTACAGGATACTGAAGTGTACGGGATACTGAAGTGTACGGGATACTGAAGTGTACAGGATACTGAAGTGTACAGGATACTGTGCTCTTACGTTACGTTAGCTATTTTTAGTGTTGGAATTATAAAGACAGTTGGCAGAGTTAGCTGGTGTGTAGCTATTTTCAGTGTTATTATAATGGAGTTAGCGAGCATTAGCTACTTTCAGTGTTGTGATGAACAGTTATAGCGATGGTGAGCAGAGTTAGATGGTGTGTAGCTACTTTCAGCATTGTGATGAATAGTTATAGCGATAGTGAGCAGAGTTAGATGGTGTGTAGCTATTTTCAGCATTGTGATGAACAGTTATAGCGACGGTGAGCAGAGTTAGCTGGTGTGTAGCTATTTTCAGTGGGAGTTTCAGTGTGATTGTAATCATGGAGTGAAAATGCTGTGAGTTTGAGTAAAACTGAGATCTGTGCAGAGTGAAAATGGTTCAGCCTTTGGTTTTAATTAGGGTTTAAATACTGTTCATATGTGAATTTGAACATTATAAAAAGCTTATAATAACCAGTATTTATCAATATGCCTGGGGTGGGAAAATACAAAGTGATATTTCAAAGATAGTGGCGGTTATTTCCTCAGCCGTGTGGAATGTATGTGGGTGTAAGACTTGAATCCAGGCCAACGACTTACTGTTACATCTTGGCGCTCTGGAGCCCTCAGTCATTGTTTAGACTTCCTACATGTGAAATTAAGGGAATATGAATATTGCTCAACATTCAACTGAACTTTGAACTACTTTCATTTCTGCATATACAGATCATATATTATATTTGTATATGTGTGTCTTTGTACATGAGATTTGCAATGAAATTACAGCTACAAAATATTTTATGAATTATTGTCGGTAATGATAAATATTCTAATGCATTAAAGTAGTAATTATGTTTAGATTTATCACTGTTTCATCAGTATTACAGTTTTCAGCACTGAGACTCTTATTGCTCTTCTCCAGGGTCGACCACCTCTACACGTTCTTCGTTGAGTGGTCACCAGACCTCTACACTAAACACGGCAGAAAACAGAGCTTCCTCGTGGTGGACAAGCAGAAACTAGCGATGATTGACAGCTTGCTCAGTGAATCTGGCCCAAAAAAATGGGAGGTGAGTAAATGTCAGTGCACTTTTTCACAACTGGCATAATTTCACAGGGATCTGGGCTCCAAAGTCAGTTTTTCCAAAACAGGATTCTTTTCTATGGTTTCTGATCACAGTTGGCTGCACCTGACCAGCACTTCACTCTAATCAACACATTAACCTTCATTTTGCTCTTTTTTAGCTCTGGGTGGAATTGATCTGATACTTTATCACAGAATTATCCACATATATCACAGATTCAGATGATATTAAGTTACCATGAATACAACAAACTCATGCCTTTAAAAAAGGTAGTCAGTTAGGATTAATGAGGATATTAATTTAGCCTTAATACAGTTACACAGTTTGTATTACATTAGTAATTATTTAGGTTAATAAGTCAACTTTAATAAAGTTAACAGATTAGCATTATTAAAGCTGATAAGTCAGCATTAATAAAACTAATAAATTAGCATTAATAAAATGAATAAATTGGCATTAACACAGTTAGTATGTCAACAATAACAAGGCTGGTAAAATAGCAGTAATGAAATCAATGAACCCATGTATTAATTAATGTGATAAGTTATCATTAACGAAGTTTAAAAGTTAGCATTAATAAAGTTAATGAACTCATGTAATAAATAATGTAAGAAGTTAGCATTAATCAAGTTTATAAATCAGCATAAATTAAGTTAAAAAGGTAGAATAAATAAAGTTAATGAGGTTGGCAAAAATGAAGTTGAGAAGTCAGCATTAATAAAGCTAATAAGTTATCATTAATAAAGCTAATAAGGTGACAATAATGAATTAAAAAAATGTGGCATTAATGAAGTTAATAAATCAGCATAAGAGTCTTTAGTATTAGGAGAGTTAATACTCATGTAAAGCTATGAAATATTATTATACAAGTCTGAGCTGGTATCTAATATGACTTTCTGTAAGTGTTTCCAGTTTCCGGACGTAAATTTCTGTAAATGTGTGGTTTAAGGAGCTGCTGATTTGGTTCTAGGCGTCACTGCATGCCTGGTGCTGCTTTTACTGGGTTCTGGGCACTGCAGCCTGTGTTTAAATTAGTTTCAGCTCGCTCTCCTTCTGCAGAAACCGCTCTGTTTTACTTTTGCTGCCCATAATAGGCTCTGCTTCCTCCCAGTTTCAGTGTGTGCAGCTCTTTACGAGAAATGAAAGTGATCGAGCAGCCAATGGCTCCGCAGCACAGAGAGAGAAAACTCAGCCAGCCAATCAGGGTGTGAGAGTGTGTAGGGTAAATAGAGCAGATCTGCTCCACTGACTCACACAGCAGAGCTCAGAGCTCACAGCACCACCAACATGAGGCCCACCTTGGAGAACATTAAGATCCTCTACTTCTCCAGAGGCTGTGAGGAGCCGTACGTGGAGGTGAGGATCTGCGGGATCAGATCTGCAGGGGAGCTCAGAGGATCTGAATGAGACTCTGATGCGCATCAGACAGACAGTGTGTTTATTCAGGATCACAGATGATCAGATGTGCAGGTGTCAGAATGACACTGGTTCAGTTTGATTGTTACTGACTGTCACTTTTTCTTTTGTCTGTTTCTCTCTGCAGATCATCACTGTGCGAAAGTCAGTGCGCTCCCAGAGTGTGTGCAGCACCCCGAGTGTGTGTACGTCTGAGGATGAGGAGGAAACACTCCCAGCTTTAAACCACACCAGCTACATCCTGCAGGAGCATCACATCGAGAGTGTGAGTCACTGACAAATTTACAGTAGATGCTGAATAATTCAAAATGGATATGCAATAATTCATAGTAGATACTGAATAATTATAGTAGATAATAAATAGTTCATAGTAGATACTGAATAATTATAGTAGATACTGATTAATTCATAGTGGATACTGAATAATTCATATTAGATACTGAATAATTCAGATTGCAATCTAAATTTTATATAGTATATGTTGAATAATTCACCGTAGTTACTGAATAATTCATAGTAGTTACTGAATAATTCATTATGGATACTGCATAATTATAGTAGACACTGAATAATTTATAGTAGGTACTTAATAATTCATATTAGGTACTAAATAATTCATAGTGGATACCGAGTCTTCTGTAGCAGATACTCAGGTATTCACAGTGGATACTGAATAATTCATACTATGTACTTAGACTACTAAGTAAATAGTAATCCTGGTTAATACTGAATGAGTGATCTGTAAAGCAGATGTTAAACCGAGTGCTGGTTTGTGTTCACAGCTGGCGGCTCATCTCCCAGCGCGGGTTCAGGGCTGCGTGTGGGATCTGGTGTACAGCACAGCGGAGCACGGAACCAGCCTGAGAACACTGTACCGAAAAACAGCGCAGGTAGAACGGCCCGTCCTGCTGCTCATCAAGGACGTGCACAACCAGGTGTGGACACTGATCAGCACCTCCACTCTGCTCCGTCCAGCAGACGTCTGAGGACACCTGCTTCACTGAGACTACACAGACAATTAAATTCAATATTAGATAAAAAGCCAAGGTGTCCCCAGAGCTCTGCCGGCGGAGTGTTTAGGCTCCTGTCAGTGATGAGAGTGACCTGTACAGGTGCAGTGAGGCTGTTTTAGGTTCCTGACAGTGATGAGAGTGACCTGTACAGGTGCAGTGAGGCTGTTTTAGGTTCCTGACAGTGATGAGAGTGACCTGTACAGGTGCAGTGAGGCTGTTTTAGGTTCCTGACAGTGATGAGAGTGACCTGTACAGGTGCAGTGAGGCTGTTTTAGGTTCCTGACAGTGATGAGAGTGACCTGTACAGGTGCAGTGAGGCTGTTTTAGGTTCCTGACAGTGATGAGAGTGACCTGTACAGGTGCAGTGAGGCTGTTTTAGGCTCCTGACAGTGATGAGAGTGACCTGTACAGGTGCAGTGAGGCTGTTTTAAGTTCCTGTCAGTGATGAGAGTGCCCTGTACAGGTGCAGTGAGGCTGTTTTAAGTTCCTGACAGTGATGAGAGTGACCTGTACAGGTGCAGTGAGGCTGTTTTAAGTTCCTGACAGTGATGAGAGTGACCTGTACAGGTGCAGTGAGGCTGTTTTAAGTTCCTGACAGTGATGAGAGTGACCTGTACAGGTGCAGTGAGGCTGTTTTAAGTTCCTGACAGTGATGAGAGTGACCTGTACAGGTGCAGTGAGGCTGTTTTAAGTTCCTGTCAGTGATGAGAGTAATCCATACAGGTGCAGTGAGGCTGTGCAGTGATGTAATCAGTGCTGATGTTCTGTGTGCAGGTGTTCGGCGCCTTCTCCTCTGACACGTTCAGAGTGAGTGACAGCTGCTACGGCACCGGAGAGACTTTCCTCTTCACGTTCGGCCCTGAGTTTAAGGTACACTCACCACCATCTGCATCACCATCTTCACTGGCAGCATCATCATCCTGCCTGTCTGCTTCACTGGAACCGCCTGTTTCTCTGATCACACGTCTGATCAGGTTCTCCTCCTTTCTCTTCACAGACGTTCTGCTGGAGCGGAGAGAACTCCTACTTTGTGCGAGGATTCCTGGATTCTCTGCAGATGGGAGGCGGAGGGTAAGAGCTTTAACCCTTTCACTGCATCTGCTGCCCGTTTCCAGGAATTACACTCACTGGCCACTTTATTAGAAACACCTGTTTTCTGTACCGCTTAATTTTAAAAACTGCTTCTTAACAATTACTAAATTATTAGCAAGCAATTAATAACGCCTGAACCATTTCTGTTGTAAGCAAGCTTAGAAATGTGGCATAAATGTGTTATAATGATGCATTAATTCTATAAGGTAGGTATTAACAGTTTGTTAAATCTTAATCGTAATCTTTTAGTTGCGAGCAAACTTTAAATATCTTCAGGAATATGATCAGATCATAATGATCTGAATTGACCAAACACTGTACACTTTTAAAATGATCGTTCTTCAAAGGTTCTTCAGTAAAGACAGCGGTTCTCACTCAACGAACCATTTGCATACTTAAATTGTTCTTCAGATTGATGGAGAATGTGTTGTTTTTGATTCTATACAGCACCAAAAAGGGAACTGTTATCGTTACAAGCTTGACTTCGTAACAATATAAGAACCGTTTTTGGTCCTACATAGAACCCTTTTCAAAAAGGTTCTATATAGATCCACTTACAATAAATTCTCCATCAATCTGAAGAACAATTTCACCATGCAAAGAACTATTTAAGCATGCAAATGGTTCCATATAGATGTGTTCATTAAAGAACGCTTGAAGAACCGTCTATTTTTAAGAGTGTGGTAAATGATGTAAATGGTCCATTGTGAGCATAGAAGTGTAGAAATGGCCTAAATTCCTAAAATATATCATGCAATTGATAAAAGATCTTTATTAATTACCGAAACTAAAGTTAGACCTATTTATTCACAACAATCACTGCCTTTGTAAGTGCTAATAAACAATATCTGTAATATCTATATGTTATAAACTGTTAAAAACAGACATTAGCTCCCAGATTTTACAGCCAAATGCAGTGAAAAGTGTAATTTAAGAACACATTGTTATTAAACATTGTATTACGAGTTACAGTAAAATAACAGTGTTTATGAAACATTTACTCACATTTACTACAAGTTTGGTCTCAGATTTCTTCATTTCAGTGTGCTGACAACACAAAGATTACAATTAACTCATTAGACAACGAACAGTTAATAACTAATTTATAAATATAAATATAAATACATTTCTATCACATTTCTGAGTTTATAAATGATGTGTTTCTATTTACTGTGGCTCTGCTGAAGTTCACAGACTGTTGAGAAGCAGAGTTTAAAATAAAGTGTTTCTAGTATCTTGTAACTCCACCTTGCTTTGCAGTAACACAAGGTATAAGGTTTCCAATAAAGTGGCCAGTGAGTGTGGTTGCAGGAATTAGCAGATATTTTAAATTTTAGACAAAATACATGCAAATGCTCCACGCAAAGTGACCTGACCGCTGTTGTTCTGACCCTAGGGGACCGTTCGGGTTGTGGCTGGACGCCGATCTCTGCCGTGGCTCCACGTTTTCCTGCAACACTTTCAGGAACCAGCCTCTCTCCCCCCATCAGGACTTCACCATCCAGGCCGTGGAGGTGTGGACCTTCCTGTAAAGACACGCCCCCAAGCACAGTGGCGCTGAAAGCGTTTTCAGCCGCGCTCATTCAGAGCGTCTAACCTGCTGTTCCAGCCCTGGAACAGAGCTCAGCGGTCAGAACAGGTTGGAACAGGATTTCTGACCGTTTGGCAGTTTTAGCGGCGCACAAATCCGTTACGGGAGCCTTCTGAGGACGGAGTGGGCGCCTTCCTGCTCGGATCAAACACTACTGAGACTAAACTACTGTGTAGTACTGAATGATACACTAATGCTGTCGGCTGCACAAAGAACTGTTTACGTTTCTTAAGATCTGATACGACAAAAAGGAATGTAAAAATGTGATGTGTACAGTTTTTTTTTCACAATTATTATTTTTACACTTAAATTATTTTTGTATTGCACACTGTAGATGGGTTTGTATATCTGGCGCTGTTGATCAGTGCTGTTTATAATTTGCCTTTTTATTAAAAGAAATGTTTTCCTGATTCTGTTGTTGTTGTTGTTGCTGTTTGTCAGATCTTCAAGATGCTACTCATAAACAAACACATATCTAGAACCGGTTAGAGCACATTAGAAGAACACATAACATAACGACATGGCCTGAGGCGCCAGAATGTAACTGCTGCAGCTTTTAAGGTGGAACAGAAAAATTCGATGAGAAAATGCTGAAGCCAGCTTCACTAACACGTTCAGGCAAGTGAAGCATGCAGTTAGCACCATGCTAAGTGGTGGGTATTAGCTTCCATTACTTGTTAGCTACATTAGCCTCCGTGGTCATAATGTAACTGCTGCACTATTTAAGGTGGAACAGGAAAATCTGAATAAGAAGCTGGGGAGTAGGAATCCAACTTCACCCACATGATGAAGCAATCAATGTGTGGTGTGTGGTTAGCACCATGCTAATTGGTGGAATATAAGCTTGCATTACTTGTTAGCTACATTAGCCCGAAGCAGTAAAACTAAAGAAGCAAACATCAGATACCAAACATGTCTTGGCTGATCAATTACATATGAGGCAATCTGGACTTTCACCAAACTATCACTTTAAAAATGGTTCAAAATACCAAAACCTGTTGAAACTGAGCTGCTAAAGCTTTAAAGACCTGCATAGAATCTATGAAAGGGTCAGGCTTTTATAGGCTTTTAGGCCATTTTTGAGTGTTGCACTATCAAAGCTTTTAAAACAAGATGAAACGCGGCCTGCTGTCAGACTCATGAGGAAAGGTTTCGGTGAAAGGCTGTAAATTGGTGTTGGGATAAACCCATAAAACCCTTTTCTGGGCTTTCGCTCTTTAAAACAATGTTCTAATTCAACAGGAGCCAAACGAACCGGTGCTTTCAGGTTATCTAACCTCTGACAACTTTGATGGAGGGTTTTATGTCTTAAAAGGGTTTATTTGAAATAGTCACATTAATCTTTTACCCCCTAAGACTCAGTGTGAGCGTCCACACTGCAGTTCATCACTCATAACTACAGATCTTACACCTTAACTTTAGAGTAGATACTGAATGATTCAGAGTAGTTAATGAGAAATTCATAGTGGATACTGAAAAATTCATAGTATATACTAAATAATTCATAGTAGATACTGAATAATTCATAGTACATACTAAATAATTCATAGTAGATACTGAATAATTCATAGTAGATACTGAATAATTAATAATAGATACTAAATAATTCATAGTAGATACTGAATAAATCATAGTAGATGCTGAATAATTCATAGAAAATACTGAATAATTCAGAGTAGATACTGAATAATTCATAGTGGATACTGAATAATTCATAATAGATACTGAATAATTCATAATAGATACTGAATAATTCATAGGAAATACTGAATAATACATAGTGGATACTGAATAATTCACAGTAGATGCGGAATAATTCATAGTAGATACTGAATAATTCAAAGTAGATACTGAATAATTCAAAGTAGATTCTGAATAATTCATAGTGGATACTGAATAATTCATAGTAGATACTAAATAATTCAAAGTAGATACTGAATAATTCATAGTAGATACTGAATAATTCACAGTAGATACTGAATAATTCATAGTAGATACTGAATAATTCATAGTAAATGTTGAATAATTCACAGTAGATACTGAATGACAAGCCTTAATTGCTAAATAAAAATAAGCCTAAAAAAATTGAATAACATTTTATTTTTATTTTATTAACCCCCGAATCTTCTGATAATGATAATGGTAATATAAACTTTCTTTAGTAGTAACTGCATTATTGAAAAAACTACAATCTATTTTCCAGCAATGTGACATTATCATCATCATCATCATCATCATCATCTTCGCCATTGTGATCAGCAGAAGCAGGTGATGCTGTTGATCAGCAGGTGTAGCTGCCCCACACACTCTGACCTGTTATTAATATCCAGACTCTGTAGATTAATTTCCTGAATCGGGTGTTCTAGATTAGATCAGTTCGTCTCCTGATTCAGCTGCAGTGAAAGCTCTGATCAGAAAACCCTCAGTTCAGCGTGGAGTCAGATCAAACTCTGAATAATGGCTCCACCTAGTGGCTATTCACCGCCCACTGCATGCTGGGACAGTAATCACTCAGCTCTCTCACTGCGATCATGAAGGGTGAAACAGAGTAAACAATACTTCAACAAATAATATCTGAAATGTAGAATTTAAATTTAAACTAATTGATAAAGATGAAAAAGTACTTTATTCTCTAATCTACATATCTACATAAATTTAAAGTCAACATGCATAAATAAAATATGAAATTGCATTAAATACATGAAACAATAATTTAAAGGTGAAATATATAGAATATAAGCCTGGATTCTTAAACTCCTATTAATCAGTTTATATATTTTAGAGTAGATACTGAACAATTTATAATTCATACTGAAAACCTTATAGTAGACACTGAATAATTCATAGTAGATACTGAACAATTCATAGTAGATGCTGAATAATTCATATTTCACTGATTATGCAGTCGTGCTGTTGTAACGTGCAGAATGTTTCTTGGTGTCGTCATGTTGAAATAAACATGGACGTCCCTGAAAAAGATGACGTCTAAAAGGCAGCATATGTTGTTCAGTGTTAATGGTGCTTTCACAGATGTGCAGGTTACCCACTAAATACACACACACACACACACCATGACAGAGGCTGGATTTAGAACTTTACGCTGGTAACAGTCTGGATGGTCCTTTTCTTCTTTGACCCGGAGAACACATCCATAATTTTGTCCATAATTTCCATAAACAATATGAAAGGTAGACCACGCATTCCATTTCAGATGAGCTTGAGCCCAGAGAACACCTGAAACGTGCATCAAAGTCATTGTTTACCATGTGGTTTACTGTGTGCTGGTACTCTCTAATGGACCGTCTAGAACAGAACATCGGCTGTTATAGAATAAGAGAACAAAAGCGTTTCTATTCAGAGCAGAAGTTCAGGGCTCCACTTCCCAACACCTGAACCGCACACAGCGGAGTGCAGCCACAAACATGAGTGACCGTTACACAGAACCAAAGGGGTGCATAATGCTGCTTTTGTTTACATTTTATTAAACTGTGTTAAAGTACTGTATATACACCGCTGTGCTACAGTCACAGACCACCATTCGTTCAGTTCATTTCCAGTTAAAACAGTCATTAAGTACAAATTATTGATTTTTCTGAGAAAAGCAGCAGAAAAAACACACAGAAAATTACACAGAAGCCTCAATATTTGACTTTCTCCTTTCTTACGCAAGTGGATTATCCTCTGTCTGAACTCCACAGACATATATTAGATTTCTGTATGGACCTTTCTGCCATGTGGCCTTTACAGCTCTAAAAACAAAATGCAATGATGTGCAAATATTTAAACCCTATATTTAAATGAAAATAGTACAAAGACAGCATATCAAATGTGGAAACTGAGAAATTGTATTGTTTTTTGAAAAATATTTGCCCATTTTGAATTTGATGTCAACAGCACATCCCAAAAAAGTCGGGATGGGGGCAACAAAAGGCTGGTAAAGTTGTGTAAAGCTAAAAAAAACACCTGGTGACTGATTGGCAACAGGTCAGTAACATGACTGGGTATAAAAGAGCATCTCAGAGAGGCGGAGTCTTTCAGAAGTAAAGATGAGGAGGGAGTTCACCACTCTGTGAAAGACTGCACGATTAAATAGTGCAACAATTCAAGAAGAACGTTTCTCAACATAAAACAGCAAAGAACTTCTGCTTTTCATCATCTACGGTACAGAATAACATTAAAAGATTCAGAGAATCTGGAGAAATCTCTGTATGTAAGGGACAAGACAAAAAAACAGTATTAGCTGGCCGTGATCTTTGGGCCCTCAGACAGCACTGCATTAAAAACAGACATGATTCTGTAGAGGAAATCACTGCATGGGCTCAGAAACACTTCTGAAAACCACTGTCTGAAAACAGTTCATCACTGCATCCACAAATGCTAATTAAAACTCTTAAACTCAAAGAAGACATTATATATAAACAGGATCCAGAAACACTGCCACCTTCTCTGGGCCTGAGCTCATTTAAAATGGACTGAGGCAAAGTGGAAAAGTGTCCTGTGGTCTGACGAATCAAAATATGGAATTCTTTTTGGAAATCATGGACACTGTGTCCTCCGGGCTAAAGACCACTCAGCTTGTTATCAGCGCACAGTTCAAAAGCCAGTATTCATGATGGTATAGGGGGCATTAGTGCACATGGTATGGATGACTTGCACATTTGTCAAGGCACCATTAATGCTGAACGATATAAACATATTTTGGCAACATATGCTGCCATCCAGACAACGTCTTTTTCAGAGAGGCCTTGATTATTTCAGCAAGACAATGTAAAACCACATTCTGCATGTATTACAGCAGCATGACTCCGTATTAAAAGAGTCCGGGCGCTAAACTGACCTGCCTGCAGTCCAGATCTGTCACCACTGAAAACATTCAGCGCATTATGAAATGAAAAATATGATGAGCCCCAGAACTGTTAAGTAGCTGAAATCCTGTATCAAATAAGAACAGGAAACATGTTGTTGCCATCAAATTCAAAATGGGCATATATTTTTCAAAAAACAATAAAATTTCTCAGTTTCAACATTTCATATGTTATCTTCGTACTATTTTCAACGAAATACAGGGTTTAAATGATTTGCACATCATTGCATTTTGTTTATTTACATTTTTGCACAGCGTCCCAACTTTTTTGGAAATGGGGTTGTAGTAAACTGTAGTATACTGAAGTACTGTAAAGTAATACTGTAGTTGTACACTAGACTAAACAAAATGCAGTAAAATGTATGAATGTTGTTTGCTAAAATATTGTAAAGAAGTTATTATAGTAATGTAATAACTATATTATATATTATAGTATATGTAAACTATATAAGTGTAGTAAAGTGTATACTATAAGGTAATACTGTAGTCATACCCTGGCTAGAAAAAACAGCATAGACCAGCATGACTGGTCACCACCAAAACCAG